GCCCGGAAGCAAGGCCCCAACTAAACCTGCGCCTGAGGAGCAGCTCCACCAAGCCCCCTGCAGCCCGGAAGCAAGGCCCCAACTAAACCTGCGCCAGGTCACAGGAAGCTGAGGAGGGGCAGACCAGGAGGCCCCAGGACTACCGGTGTTCCTATAATTCACCGGGAAACACCCTGGAGAAGGTCTCCCAAACAAAAGAAGAGAAGAGAGCTAAGGAAAATATCTGAGTCGTGTGGATGACAAGGAGGGTTGCCTGGAGCTGTTTATTTTAAACCCCTTTTCTCCCTGGCTGGATCCCTAGAATTCTCTGTAGCAGCCTGCAGGTGGAGAATTTTAAAGAATGCAATTAAATTCAAATGCTTTGATAAGGAATAGCTCTTCTCTTCATTTTTGTCTAGAACTTTAGCAATATATCATTAGTATTGAGCAGGAAGTGATGAAAACATTTTCCATAGTTATCACCATGACCAGGGCCTGGCGATGAGCTACGTTTAACTCTGTGAGTCCTCAGGTAGCAGGGGAAGGTTTCAATGCGTCCTGACGTTTAGAGCATTTGGTCCTGATTAACAGTCTTTGAAATGTCACTAAATTTTATTTAATTGGCTAAGAAAAAAACGTTAAAAGGTAATCACTGCAAAGATCACATCCATCGCCAAAAAAGATAATTGCACTTGTCACGTGACAAGGTAGCTGCTAACTACTGCAGCCAACAAGCTCTGCACGCCCCTAGGACCGCGGGGATACAGCCGCGCTCCACCGCTAGAAAGGGCTGACAAGTTTATTTGATTGTTTCTTTCAAAGCGTTTTGTGTCAACCACTGCAAGCCTTCAAGGCATTTGAGCAAATACTGAAATGGAAATGCAGGTAATTGTAAAAAAGGATTACCCACGTTTAATTATAGCGCCCTCTGAACCATCCCTACCTCCAGCCGTCATCAGAATTGCAATGCTCCGAGCAGGCTTGTCAGCGGCAGGCACACTGCACAGGAAGAGAGTGGTAGCACCCAACGGTCACACGGAGGGAGCGGAGAGGAGAGGAGGCCTCACTTCCACAGGAGACCAGCCATCTCCCGTGTGTGTGTGTGTGGGTGGTTTGGCTGGCGGCAAGCGCAAGGGCAGGGACAGGGACGGAGACGCCTCTCTAGGGATCAAGGTGCGTCGGGCAAGATGGGCCGGGAGACAGCCCGTCTCCAGCAGGGCCATTCTGTAGCAGCCACGCTTGCTTCTGTGCCGGGTTTTCTGGGCTCTGCATTCGGCCCAACTTTTCCCCCGCTGGGTCACACACTCTGGAAGGTTCCTTGCAGCGGGAGCCAGGCAGAGGGATTTGTGGACGGTTTACAGGTGCAAACAACACTCCTCACAGAAAAGCACCAAGAAGACAACACACGTCCACCACTGGGGGTGGGTCATTTCTCTGGGAGTCTGAGGCCCTGGTGTGAGTACATACCCCTCTCGGGTGTAGCGACCACCAAGTCAGTTCTGAGGCAACTGGACCTAGAACAGAACAAGACATGCCCTGCCTGGTCATCGCCATCTTCATGGTCACTCGACCGCCGGAGCCCACTGCGACAGCAACCGGGTCCACTCATCTCATGGAGAGGCTCCTCCGCCCCACAGAGCCCAGAGCCCACAGGCCCCTGGAGGCCAGGGGAGGGTGAATGGCCCCTTTAGGATCAGGCAAACGGATTTGGCAAGGGAAATTCCTCCTTATTTTCTCTTCTCCTTTGCAGTTGGGGCATGAGACCGAGTGACCATCTCGGTGCCAAAGAAGGTGGCAGAAGAGAGTCTAGAAATGAGAGCCAGCCTTGTGCTGGAGAGGCCAGTGCAGCATGGCAGTCAGGCAGTACTGACCGCTGCACGCAAGCCTCGTGTGAAGGGCTCCCTGCCTGAGTCTCAGTGTGTGCACTTGCACGGAGCAGCTGCTGGCCTGCACAGCAGATTCGGCAGGAACCAGGGTTTGCCCCCAGAGCTTCTAGCTGGTAGCTCCAGTTCGTGCCCAAGGCCTAGGCTTGGGTGCCGGGCCTCTCCCGTCAGCTTGCTCTCAGTTGCATCTCAGTCCCCTGCAAACTTGTGTCAGGCTCCGCCTTGGTTCCGTTAGGGTCCATCCATGAGGAAATGCTGCTGTCAGCGAGGAGGAAGCCATGCCTCCTCCTCTCTGCTTTGTACCAGGGTGTTTTCTGGAGGGGTGCGTTCCCCTGCTGCTCCAGCCCCTCTGGATGGCACAAACACCAGGCTGTGGGAATACCTCCCACCTCCTCCTACCCCTCCTGCCTGAGAGAGGTGCCACACCTGGTGCTGCTAAGCTGTGGATGGTCTCACGTCCCCATTTAGTTCCTCCGCGTTCCCATCACCTGGGCATCCAATCCCCTGGATCCAACACCTTCCACCTAACACACCTAGAGCGTTTTCTAGTTTTCTGCTCCGAGCATCGGGACTCTTTCCGTGGTCCAAGCCATCAGTGTCTCTCAAGGACATAACAGAATGACTTCCTGCTCTGGGCCTGGCCCCTCTAAAGTTGCCTCTCAACACAACAGCAGCCAGCAAAACGCTGCCACCCTTCGTGCAGGCAGCTCCCAGAGCAGGAGCCGACATCCTCAGGGCAGCCCAGAAGCCTCCACATGATCTGGCTCCCTGACCTCCGTGACGCCATCTCCGTCCACTCTCTCGTCCCGTGCTGCTCTCATTTACACGCCTTCTTGGTGTATTGCCCACAGACCAAGCCCCCTTCCTCGGGCCTTGCACTTTCCGGGACCATCTTCTCCAAGGCACCTTTACGGCTGCCCACTGCTCAGGCCTCTGCTCCACGGTGTCCTCCTCAGTAGAGCCCGCTGCCCCACACCACGAGGCAGCACTCCCACTGCGCTCAGCACCTGTGCCGCTGCGGCACACTGGCAGGACCTACCCCAGCGCCAGCACGGCCTCCAGCTTTCCCATCTGGAACTCGGGTTGGTGGATTCCTCTGGAAGAAGTCCAACAGGAATGCCCCTGACTTTACATACCACCTCTGCCACCCGCCCCTCCACTCGGCTGAAGACAGCCACATACCGCGTGTCCACGGAGGGATGCGGAGTGCTGATAAAACTTTATCGACAACAGCAGGGGGCAGGCTGTGTTTGGTTTGCAGCCTGCAGTTTTCTGATCCTGGCAGCACAAGGCCCTGTCTATTCTGCTTACTGCTGCCTCCCCTGTGCTTTACCTTAGAAAGCGTGCCATGAACCAGCTGAAGAAATGATACAAAACCCGAAACAATGAAGCAACATTCCTTTTCCTACTCCTCTGGCCAGGGTGACAGGAAATGCAAGTAGCTTGTTGCTCCAACTACAGACAAGGGGATTCGGGGGGACGACACGCTCGCCCACAATTCTAGAAGGTAGGCCGCTGGATGTTCACGGGCACCTCTTGAAACAGGAAGGAGCCCCGGGGAGGACGCTGTGGGCTGAGTCCGGGGATGCTAACCCCAAGGCTGGCTGTCCAAACCCACCGGCCTCCTTGTGGGAGAAAGCGGAGGCTGTCTGCTGCTGTACAGACTGACACTCTTGGAAACTTTATGTAGGGTCACCGTGCATTGGAATCGACTCGATGGCAGTAGCTTACTTGGAAATGCAGCTCCAGTCGGAAAAGGGTGAGAAATGAGATTAGAGCAGGTTAAGTGCTGCTCCTTCCTGCAGCTTCTCCGGGCCCAGAGCATGCTTGCTGGTGTGTATAGGAATCTCAGGGCAGGAGAGGGGCAGGTGCCAGAAGTCGAGTCCCTCAGACATATTGGGCAGTGGGGCCCTCTTTCCTCAGAATATTACCATGGAGGAAGATTCCATGGGACACACGTGAGAGTGACTGAACCGAGACCTCCTCCGGGAAGGAGAGAAGACATCTGTGTCACAAGGTGTCTCATTATTGGGGACACAGGTGGCCCCACAGTCCGTGCGCCTAGGGCTGAGTCCCCTGACTAGACTTCATGGCCTCTACCCCATTGGGGGCTGGTTTGAGCCCACCAGGCAGTTCCTGGTTTCTCAGCCAACTCTGATGACCAGTCTGACCCTGTCCGCGCGGGCCCACATCAGACACAGCTCCCGCAAAGCTCGGGCCCCTGGGGCAGAGGACACACGGCCAGGAGGCGCTTACATCTCTGAGGACGTCGAAAGCTTCATTGAGAGCTATGTCCAGCATCCCGATTCCTTGTGCATACAGCTTGTCCAGGTGCTCCCGGAAGTGCTGAAACAACAAAGCGGAGAGTCCATTAGTGTCTGTCCGTCCCGGAAGGCCAGCCGCGGACGCATAGGCGCTGGTGGTCGGAGCCCCCTGGGCCCACGGGAGCTGTTTCCTCCTCACGGTCAAGTGGGGTGCTTGATCAATAGAAAGACGACCTCTGGGCTGGGATGGCTTTGGGGTTCTGTTTCCGCCTGGATTGAAAAGTACAGTTCCTGTTCTCCTCCCCCTTCCTTGTCCCGGAACACCTCCAGCCCTCCCTCCAGGTAACCCCAGGACTGCGCAGATCCCCTCTCCTGGAAACCCATGCACCACCACTCCTAGGGTCCCCGGCCACACTCATCCCACTAGCCCCTGGGATCTAAGTTGGGATACCACCCCCACCCCCATGCCAGGACCTATTCCCTGACCCCCCACCTGAGACTGGCTCAGAAGCTGCCTCCTTGCTCCCCCGGCCAGATCACCTGGCACAAGTGCACACTCAGGACTGGCTGTCCCCAGAAAAGCCAGGGCAGGCCAGCCTCATCCCGAGTGTGTGCCTCGCAGAGGGAGGCCCTGAAGGGCCTCTGGATAGACTTTCACAAACCGAACGCTCTCACGCTGGCAGGGGGCTGGGTGGGAGTCACAGAGGAGCTTCAGAGAGGCATCCAAATGGCAGAGACGCACCCCCATGAGCCTGTGGGGCTTCTGGCCACCCTGGGTCCCAAGAAGCTGGAGCGTAAAGGAGATGAAAGATACAACCCGTGGCACCCCCGTTTCCCTCTCCACCACAGGGCAGGGCCACGTGAGCGGATGGGCCATCTACTGCCCAGCGTCCATGCGCACAGGGGAACCGCTCTCCTGGGGTGACCCTCCAGCTGACCCGTTCCTAAACCACTTCTGTCCTGTGGAGTAAATCTCATCTCTCCCAAAGATGCCCACACCCTGCCTGCCTGCCTGCTCTGACGCCCAGCTGCAGGAGTTGCCAGAGGGAGAGGGGGAGGAGGGGAAGCTCATGGAAAACCCTTGTGTGGCTTTCCTCTTGCCCACACCCTGGGACTCCACAAAGCCCCAACCACAGTCGCACTCAGATGGTCACGAGGCCACACTGCCATACAGAACCTGCACTGACCAGAGAATGGGACAGACCACAAGCAGAGGCTGACCCTAGAGATGGCCCAGTCAGGGAAGCCTTCAGGAAGCAGCGGTGAGCACAGCCGGTTGGGATGGAATGCAGCCCCCTGGGACGACGGAGCCAAGGTGGAAGAAGAGGTCTAGGTGAGCTACCATGTGGTTCACCTTCAATGGCAGCCAGATCCAGCAGGAGGCCAGGTAGACAAACATCAGCGACTTGCCCTGGGGATGAAGGAGCCTCCCCAAACCCTCCTCGCTGCTCTAACCTCCTTCGCAGTAGCGGTGACCTCAAGTCCACTGAGAGGCCAACACTGACATCTGCCCTGTGTTAAACCAAACTCACTCCCACTCACTGCCATCCAGTCCACGAGACCCCTGTGGGTTTCCGAGGCTGTAACTGAACAGGAGGAGAAAGCCGCATCTTTCTCCCTCGGAGTTGCTGTTGCTTTTGAACTTCCCGCCATGTGGGTCACAGGCCAAGGGTGGTCATTCCACATCCCTGTCCCATGATGCCCCGCACCTGGGTGCTCACAGCCACCCATCTGGCTGATGGGTGGTTCAGGGCTCTGCCCAAACTGATGTTCCTTTTAGCTGCCTGGACGCAGGTCCCTCCCAGGCTTACTGCGCCCACTCCATGCCCTCCTCACCAGCTGCTGCCATCAGTTAGAAGCTCAGTAGAAGCAGCTACCTTTGGGGAGCACCGCGGATGCCAGGCACTGGCAGGACCTTGGCACTGACCCAAGTCATCAGACTCCAGAGAGCCCACTCTTAGCCTCTGCACTGGGGTCGGGCTCGGTGTGCAGGGGCTCACCAAGTGGCCCACTACGTGGGAGGAAACCAGGTAAAGTAGCCAGGACCACCTGTGGGAGGGAGCAGGTAAAGCAGCAAGGACCACCTGTGGGAGGGAACCAGGTAAAGCAGCCAGGACCACCTGCTGTCCTTCCCTTTCCTGCCACTTCTCTGTGCACAGCAGGGAGTCTATGCACACTTGGTGTGTAAAGCGTACAACTGAGCGTATCTCAGGTTTTCCCAAACATGGATGGGTAGACAAGAGGAGAGTCAGAGTACATCAGTCTCTCCCCCTACACACACACACACACACACACACACACACACACAAAACACACTTACTTCATCAACAACAAATGCCCTTCTAAACTAGACTATTGGTGGACAATGGCTATAGAGGGAACTTAGGCTCAGCAGATCTCAAATAAAGGTGGCCCCCACACAAAACCCACAGCCCCAAGCCCTGGGCTTCTAGACACCAGTTGGTTTTCTTTTTTAGAGAGGGGGTGTTGTTTTGTTTATTTATAAATCATTTTATCAGGGGCTCTTACAACAACACATAGAGACACCTCCTTTTTAATTGGCCGCAAGCTCGCGTCGCTGTTGCCGCGTGGGACTTGTCTCTGTAAGCTCCTTGTCTTTAACTGACCTCATTGTGGTCACTTCCATGTCCTTGTGCTCAGTCACACCGTTTACAAAAGATTAAAAAAAACATAATACTGAAACCTCATTTCATTTTTCCTTTAATCCATGCATGGCTGTGTCAGGTGCAAAAAGACGCTTCCAGCAAGGAGTTGCTTTTATTGCTGGACACTTATAGGGAAACACTGGCCACAGGTGTCACAGACCAGCGCCACCGGTGCCCAGGGTTCCCCGCTACTCCCTCGCTAACAAGGTCTGCTGAGATTCTATTTTCTTCCTGGTATGTGTTAAATCCATATATTAGATGGAAAAAAACAAGATTCCTTCAGTAGTTTCCAATTCATGTCACAAACGGAGGGCCTCTCACAAGGCCCTTTCCCTCCTGTATATCCCCTTCTCTTGCTGCGATGTCCAATACGCGCACCCCTGCTGCACAAAACCTCGCCTTCCCAGGGCACTGTCTCTGGTGAGGTGGCTCTCAATCAAGAACTGCGCTGTCCAAGATGGTAGCCATTAAACTCATGGAGCTACTTACAGTGACAGCTCATGGGAACCACTGACAATCAAAGTTACCTATCATTTTAAAAAATGGGTTCCTCAGCCACACTAGCCACATGTCACCACCCTAGGGTCACTTGCGGCTAGTGGCTCCTGCTTGTGACACTACTGAGTAAAGAGCATTTCCACCAGGGCGGCGACTGCTGTTGGCCGGCACTAATCTGCAGAGAGAAAGGTGGGCTAGCCCTGCCCTCCTCACCAGCCCCTCTCCGACTTTGTGTCCAGGGAGTATCTGTGATTTTTGTCCTCCAGCACACCCCTTCTTTAGATTCTCCTCGGGAATTACTTCTCTCCTGTGCACCCACATCACTCCTTTGTTTGGGGCTGACACATATATAGATAGAGATACAGATAGATATACAGATATAGATATAGGATCAGACTTGTCTCATCAGTGCTGCCCATCTGCCACCGTCAAATAGAAGCATATGGCATCATAGCCGGACTTCTGATGGGGTCTGGTAAAGAGGATTCACCCAGCCCACTAAAGCTGAGAGGTTAGGGGGGTCTCGAGCTGCCGGCAGCCATCTGGCAAGAGCTCAAGATGGAATCGTGACAGCTTGATTTGTACCCTAGATCCTAGTGCTGCTGAAGGAAGTCGATGCATTAGGCTATTTTCTGGGTCAATGTTAACTGAATGTGGGGTAATTAATTAAAGGGACCCCAATTACCACCACAACAGCCATAGCTTCCAAGATTGTAGCTCCCCAAAGTGTCCCGTCCATTAAAATGATCCTCCTTAAGTGAGCTTTCCCCCTTTTACTTTTAAACTTTGCATCGTGAGTTGGGTGAAGGTTTACAGAACCGGTCGTCAGGTGTTTTTTCTTGTTCATTTGATTGGGGGCTCTGACAGCTGTTATCACAATCCATACATTCATCCCGTCAAGCACATCTGTACATTTGTTGCCAGCAACCTTTTCAAAACATTTTCTTTCTACTTGAGCCCTCGCTATCAGCGCCTCATTTTTGTCCCTCCCTTCGCATCCTCGTGACCTTAGATACATTATAAATTATTATTTTCATACCTTACTCCATCCACTGTCTCCCTTCACCCATTTCTATTGTTCGTTACCCTGGGGGTGGGGGTATTTATACATTGATCATTGTGATCAGTTCCCCTTTCCTCCCCCCACCTTTCCCCTACCCTCCTGGTATTGCTACTCCCATTATTGATCCTGAGGGTTCATCTAACTGATACACATTTTGTTTCATCCCATTGATTTTGATGTCCTCAGTGTACCACCATCTCCCTACTTCCCCGCTCCCTGTGCTCCCGTTTGAACCCTTCCGAGTCCACTGGTCCTTGGGTCAATGCTGTCCTTTTGATCTCAAATGGCTCGTTATTCTACAGTGTGCGTGCCTCCCAAATGCCATTGTCCCCTGCCTGTTGTTTGCCTGAAAACGGAGCTACAGGTGGGACTGAAGTCCCCTTGGTGCATCATGGTCACTGCGTGGCCGTGTGTGACCAGATGCTGTGCTAGATGGTGCACAGCTCCCAGTACCCAGCATGCTCCTGGTTCATCTGGGCTCACGGGCTGCTGCTCTGACTACTGTGGGATGGAGTAATGTGGGCTTTGGCTGAAGAATCCTAATCCCGTGTACTCGGAGGCTAGTGCCTGGAAGTGACCATTCCTTTGTCATCGCTCACTCCTCCACGACTTCAGGTTTTGTCAACTCTAACTCCTGTTGTGACCCCGGTAAGAGTTCTGGGGGAAAAACAAAAGAAAAAATTCTCTGCAATCTAGTGATTCTGGCTCGCAGTGACCTGTGGGTTTTGGAGATGGTAACTCTTCACAGGAGCAGAAAGCCTCAGCTCTCTCCAAGAACGTTCAACTCCCAGACCTCCACGTTAACCCCTGAATGAACAGTAGACCAGCCCTTGCTGCCTGGATGCGGGAGCAGCT